TGGGAGAGTTTGAGAAGGATAGGTGTTAGCTCTTCTCTAAATGTTTGATAGAATTCACCTGTGTGAAACCATCTGGTCCTGGGCTTTTGTTTGTTGGAAGATTTTTAATCACAGTTTCAATTTCAGTGCTTGTGATTGGTGTGTTTGTATTTTCTATTCCTTCATGGTTCAGTCTCAGAAGGTTGTGCTTTTCTAAGAATTTGTCCATTTCTTCCAGGTTGTTCATTTTATTAGCATATAGTTGCTTGTAGTAATCTCTCCTGATCCTTTGTATTTCTGCAGTGTCAGTTGTTATTTCTCCTTTTTCATTTCTAATTCTGTTTTGAGTCTTTTCCCTTTTTTCTTGATGAGTCTGGCTAATGGTTTATCAATTTTGTTTATCTTCTCAGAGAACCAGCTTTTAGTTTTATTGACCTTTGCTATTGCATCCTTCATTTCTTTTTCATTTATTTCTGATCTGATTTTTATGATTTATTTCCTGCTAACTTTTGGGTTTTTTTGTTGTTCTTTGTCTAATTGCTTTAGGTGTAAGGTTAGGTTGTTTATTTGAGAAGTTTCTTGTTTCTTGAGGTAGGATTGTATTACTATAAACTTCCCTGTTAGAACTGCTTTTGCTGCATCCCATAGGTTTTGTTTGTTTTTTTGCGGTACGCGGGCCTCTCACTGTTGTGGCCTCTCCCGTTGTGGAGCACAGGCTCCGGATGCGCAGGCTCAGCGGCTATGGCTCACGGGCCCAGCCACTCCGCGGCATGTGGGATCTTCCTGGACCAGGGCACGAACCCGTGTCCCCTGCATCGGCAGGCGGACTCTCAACCACCGCGCCACCAGGGAAGCCCTATCCCATAGGTTTTGGGTCGTCGTGTTTTCATTGTCATGTGTTTCTAGGTATATTTTGATTTCCTCTTTGATTTCTTCAGTGATCTGTTGGTTACTTAGTAGAGTATTGTTTAGCCTCCAACCGTATGTATTTTTTACAGGTTTTTTCCTGTAATTGATATCTAGTCTCATAGCGTTGTGGTCGGAAAAGATACTTGATACGATTCCAGTTTTCTTAAATTTACCAAGGCTTGATTTGTGACCCAAGATATTATCTATCCTGGAGAATGTTCCATGAGCACTTGAAAAGAAAGTGTATTGTGTTGTTTTTGGATGGAATGTCCTATAAATATCAATTAGGTCCATCTTGTTTAATGTGTCATTTGAAGCTTGTGTTTCCTTATTTATTTTCATTTTGGTTGATCTGCCCATTGGTGAAAGTGGGGTGTTAAGTCCCCTACTATGATTGTGTTCCTGTTGATTTCCCTTTTTATGGGTGTTAACATTTGCCTTATGTATTGAGGGCTCCCCTGTTGGGTGCATAGCTATTTACAGTTGTTATATCTTCTTCTTGGATTGATCCCTTGAGCATTATGTAGTGTGCTTCTTTGTCTCTTGTAGCCTTTATTTTAAAGTCTCTTTTGTCTGATATGAGAATTGCTCCTGCAGCTTTCTTTTAATTTCCATTTGCATGGAATATCCTTTTCCATCCCCTCACTTTCAGTCTGTATGTGTCCCTAGGTCTGAAGTGGGTCTCTCGTAGCAGCATATATACAGGTCTTGTTTTGTATCCATTCAGCCAGTCTGCGTCTTTTGATTGGAGCCTTTAATCCATTTACATTTAAGGTAATTATCGATATGTATGTTCCTATTACCATTTTCTTAATTATTTTGAGTTTGTTATTGTAGGTCTTTTCCTCTTGTGTTTCCTGCCTAGAGAAACTCCTTTAGCATTTGTTGTAAAGCTGGTTTGGTGGCGCTGAATTCTCTTAGCTTTTGCTTGTCTTTAAAGGTTTTAATTTCTCCATCAAATCTGAATAGATCCTTGCTGAGTAGAGTAATCTTGGTTGTAGATTCTTGCCTTTCATCACTTTAAATATGTCCTGCCACTCCCTTCTGGCTTGCAGAGTTTCTGCTGAAAGATCAGCTGTTAACCTTATGGAGAGTCCCTTGTATGTTATTTTTTGCTTTATTTACCCTTGCTGCTTTTAATATATTTTCTTTGTATTTAATTTATGATAGTTTGATTAATATGTGTCTTGGCATGTTTCTCCTTGGATTTCTCCTGTATGGGACTCTCTATGCATCCTGGACTTGATTGACTATTTCCTTTCCCATAGTAGGGAAGTTTTCAACTATAATCTCTTCAATATTTTCTCAGTCCCTTTCTCTTTCTCTTCTTCTTCTGGGACCCCTATAATTCGAATGTTGGTGTGTTTATGTTGTCCCAGGTGTCTCTGAGACTGTCCTTAATTTTTTTCATTCTTTTTTCTTTATTCTGCTCTGTGGTAGTTATTTCCACTATTTTATTTTCCAGGTCACTTATCCGTTCTTCTGCCTCAGTCATTCTGCTATTGATTCCTTCTAGAGAATTTTTAATTTCATTTATTGTGTTGTTCATCACTGTTTGTTTGCTCTTTAGTTTTTCTAGGTCCTTGTTAAACGTTTCTCGTATTTTCTCCATTCTGTTTCCAAGATTTTGGATCATCTTCACTATCATTACTCTGAATTCTTTTTCAGGTAGACTGCCTATTTCCTCTTCAGTTTTTTGGTCTGGTGGGTTTTTACCTTGCTCCTTCATCTGCTGTGTAGTTTTCTTTCTTCTCATTTTGCTTAACTTACTGTGTTTGGGGTCTCCTTTTTGCAGGCTGCAGTTTCATAGTTCCCGTTGTTTTTGGTGTCTGCCCCCAGTGGGTAAGGTAGGTTCAGTGGGTAGTATAGGCTTCCTAGTGGAGGGGACTGGTGCCCACTTGTGTCCTGTGGATGAGGCTGGATCTTGTCTTTTTGGTGGGCAGGACTGTGACTGGTGGTGTGTTTTGGGGTGTCTGTGAACTTCTTATGATTTTAGGCTGCCTCTCTGCTAATGGGTGGGGTTGTGTTCCTGTCTTGCTAGTTGTTTGGCATGGGGTGTCCAGCACTGGAGCTTGCTGGTCGTCGAGTGGAGCTGGGTCTCACTGTTGAGACGGAGATCTCTGGGAGAGCTCTCACTGATTGATATTATGTGGGGCCGGGAGGTCTCTGGTGGTCCAGTGTCCTGAACTCGGCTCTCCCACCTCAGCGGTTCAGGCCTGACACCCAGCCAGAGCACCAGCACCCTTTTGGGAAGTCTGAGGTCTTCTGCCAGTATTCAGTAGGGTTCTGTAGGAGTTGTTCCGCATCCAGATGTATTTTTGATGTATTTGTGGGGAGCAAGGTGATCTCCACGTCTTATTCCTCCACCATCTTGAAGGTCCTCCTTGGCTCTTTTTTTTTTAATAAGAAAACATTTTTAAAAACTAGCGGGGCTTCCCTGGAGGCACAGTGGTTGAGAGTTTGCCTACAGATGTGGGGGACATGGGTTCGTGCCCCTGTCCATGAGGATCCCACATGCTGCGGAGCGCCTGGGCCCGTGAGCCATGGCTGCTGAGCCTGCGCATCCGGAGCCTGTGCTCCGCAACGGGAGAGGCCACAGCAGTGAGAGGCCTGCGTACCGCAAAAAAAAAAAAAAAAAGTTAACTGATGTTGTCAGTTTCTTCTCGTTTTTATTTTATTGAGGTATAATTGATGTGTAATACTGTATTAGTTTCTGGTACACAACATAATGATTTGATATTTGTATACATTGTGAAATGATCATAACAGTAAGTCTAATTAACATCTGTCACCATACATAGTTACAAAATGTTTTTTTTTTTCTTGTGATGAGTACTTTTTTTTTTAAATTAAAAAAAAATTTTTTGGGGGCCACACCACCCGGCATGTGGGATCTTAGTTCCCCAACCAGGGATCAAATCCATGCCCCCTGCATTGGAAACATGGAGTCTTAACCACTGAATCGCCAGAGAAGTCCTGTGATGAGCACTTTCAAGATCTACTCTCTTTGTAATTTTCAGATGTGCAATACAGTATTATTAATTATAGTCATTGTGCTGTACATTAAATCCCCATGACTTATTTATTTTATTGCTGGAAGTTTGTATGTTTTGACCTCTTCACCTTTTTCACCTATCCACCACCCCTACCTCTGGCAGTCACCAGTCTGTTCTCTGTATCTGTGAGCTTGGTTTTTTTTGTATTGATTTGATTTTAGATTCCATGTATAGGTGAGATCATACAGTATTTGTCTTTTTCGGACTTAATTTCACTTAGCATAATTCCCTTAAGGTCCATCCATGTTGTTACGAAAGGCAAGATGTCGTTCTTTTTTATGGCTGAGTAATATTCCACTGTATATATTTACCGCATCCTCTTTGTGGATCTCCTCTTAACTCAGTTTAAATGCTCAACCCACATCATTCTCCCCTATTGCATTATGTGACATTGGCTATAGTAATTTTTTTCTGTTACAAGTCATAGATTGTATAGCATAAATTTGTTTTTTAACATAGATATTTGGATTTGCTGTTTGCTTTCTCCAGAGTGTGAAGAACTTTTTCATTTTCCAGTTTCTGTTGTTAAAATGATGCAGGTGTATGTTTCATTAAAGTTAAAAAATCACTACTATGAAAACTGGCAGAGTAAGAAGTAATTTGGAGGTATTACATAGATGGTACTTTCAAATTTTAGTGTGAGAAACGTATGTTGTGATCTCCTAATTATGTTCACATATACCATTTAAACTTTTATTAATCATTGTAACCACGGTTATTTTGTTCCAGCAACTCTTGCGGGAGATTTTAGTTTGTGCTGAGGCATATAATATAATAATTGATTTCAAAATTTGATTATAAGAGAATGAAAATTCTTAGTTTGAAAAAAAATTTTTCCTTTTGCAGTAAAGTTAAATATTTTTAGGTGAATATTTTTCCTTATTCTTAACAATTAAAAGTCAAGTAAGTTATAATTTTAAGAAGAGATTTTTAAATCTGTATGTAATTCTTTTGGTGTGGAGTCAGCAGAACCATTGAAATGAGCTATAATCTGCTTTTTTAAATGTATTCATAATAAAGGGATAGTCATAAATCCTTTGTCTTTATTTTTTTAAGGCAAGAGGAGCAGACATTCCAGAGATTCCTGGAGACCTTAGTCTTAAGACATGTGGCAGTACAGCCAGTATGAAGGTGAAACATGTGAAAAAGTAAGTATAATTTTACAGCGGGTTTTAAGTGAATTTCTATCAACGGAAATCAGTTCTCTAGTTCTGTTAAAACTTTTATCCAGATTTCTTACTAAATGAGCTCTTACTGTCCATACATTAAATTAATACTGTTAAGCCTTGAATTATCACTCAACTGTTAGCAGAATGGGTCTGAGGATTATCTACTTATCTAAAAATACACTTTAATTTTGTTTTTGTAACAACTTTTATGTTACTGTGTATTAGGTTGCATTTGTTCAATGGGAACAATCCAAGTATGTCCTTTTTGGTAGCTTTAATACATGCTCTCAGTCATTTGGAAAAATCACTTTTGGTATTTGAGTTATGAAATTGCTGTTTCTCAGCTATGCTTTTGAGAAAGCCTGAGATGGATGCCAGTATTTGACTATTAAGTGAAATATCTGAAGGTATCCGTTTCAGTTTTAGGCAGAAAAACCGTCTTTTCACCTGGTGAAGGGTTAGATAGCTATGTTTTTATTCTAAGTAGAGGAAAGACAAGGATAAAAATGTTCATTCTGCATCCAGACCCACCAATCCAGGACTGATGGGCTGTGACAACATTCACAGGTAAAATCTGGTTTTGTATGTTGTGGTGGGAATGCTGCTTCTGCTTAGAGCAGGCTGTTGACAGTTTCCATAACATTCACTGAAAGCCTAGTTTTTCTAGGGTCATTGACGTGGGTCAGGATTAGAAGAGTACTATAGTGATGCTTTTTATTTTACTTTATTTTATTCTTTTGGTTTTGACTTGTGCACTGAATGTAATTTCCATTTGATTCTGTGTATTTCTGAAAAGGTATGTGTGGATATATGTGCTCATGTGCATGTGCTTATTAAATAGTTTTGCTTGTTGCATGAGCTCTTCAACCTGTTTTATTTCCTCCTTAAGTTTAGTAATTTTGACTGTTCCAGTATCTTGTATCTCATTTATTTCATGTACTTCAGGTTACCCTTCACTAAAGGTCACTTTCCGAAGATGGCTGAATGTGCACATTTCCATTATGAGAACGTTGAGTTTGGCAGCATACAGGTACATTCGCGATACTTCCTGCATACAGAATCAAGACATATTTATATCTTTATCTGTGTATCTGATAGGTGACACTTAGAAGTATTTTTTTCTATTGATGTCTTATTGGTTGATGTGAAGACTTTTTTCTCTTCTGTTGACTAATATTTGACACCTGATGACTCCTGTTTCAAGTGGAAACAGTATAAAAGAATCTGTATAAATTTCAGAATTTCTATCAGATTCCTAGACAGAGTTTGCCACTGTTTGATAGCATGAACTATTTTAGTCGTTACCTCACTGTTGTGTTGGGTCATAGTGGTGATGGATAAATCAGAGTTGGGGTGAAGGTGGAGTAGGGGTTAGGGAGAGAAGTGCTAATGGAGTTTTTTTTCAATATTTTTCTTATTGTAAAGTATATTATGTATATACATGTATATAAAACACATTTGTAATATATTTTATATACATATTTGTGTACATTTTAAAGCCTAGGTTAAGAGATAGAAATTTTCCTGTGTCCCTCTTGTGTTTCATTTGCCTTCCCTACCCGAGAGGTCACTTATACCATGACTTTTGTAATATTCATTACCTTACATTTTTAAAACAGTTTTACTCTCTATATGCATTCCTAATCAATATGGCATTTAGGTTTACCTTTTTGAACTTAACATAATTGGAATTATTCTAATTTGTTCAGCAAATACTTACTGAGCAAGTACTATATACGAGGCACTGTTTCAGGTGCCTTGGCTATATTAGTGAACAACAACCACCAAAATCAAAGACCCATTCTTAAAGAGCATAGAAGACGGCCAAGAAGATAAGAGTTATGGTAAAAAAGTAGAGCAGGGTTAGAAGGATCAGGGGTTCTTGGGGGTAAGTTGAAATATCAAACCAGTTTGGGCTTCATTATTGAATGTATTCCTTCTTGCTTCTTTCATTTAACATTGTGAAATTTATCCTTGTAGATGTATGTACTCATAGTTTGTTCAGTTTGTTCACAGCTGTGTATTAATCCATAGTGTGCGTATGTCACAAGTAATTTATTGATTCTTTTATTCTTTTGAAATTTGGGTTATTGTCAGTTTTTGGCTGTTTTAAACAACATCTCAGTGAACATTGTTCTACGTGAATCCTGATGTACAAATGCCAACTACTTCTCACTGCATTTTTCTTTTTTTTCTTTTTTTTTTTTTTTGCGGTTCGCGGGCCTCTCACTGTTATGGCCTCTCCCGTTGCGGAGCACAGGCTCAGCGGCCATGGCTCACGGGCCCAGCCGCTCTGCGGCATGTGGGATCCTCCTGGACCGGGGCACGAACCCGTGTCCCCTGCATCGGCAGGCGGACTCTCAACCACTGCGCCACCAGGGAAGCCCTCTCACTGCATTTTGATTTGCAGTCTCCTCATTTCTGATATGGTTGCTCAGCTCTTCAAATGTTTATTGGGCATTTGAGATTCCTATTTTTTTAAACTCTAGATGAAGCCTTTTGCTCATTTTGTTTTATAGATTTGCTTGTATTTTTCTTATTCATTCATGGGAATGCTTTACATATTTTGGATCTTAGTCCTTTCATGTTGCATCTAGTCTTTTTATTGTTTTTGTATGTGAACTAAAAACACTTTCTCTCACCCTGTGGTATGTTTCTTTCACTCTCTTTATTCTGCTTTTAGTGTTCAGGCATTGACTGTTTTATTCTTTATTTTATGTAGTTGTATGTTTGTACAAATCTTCTGACTTGTAGTTTTTCTGTCATATTTAAGATGCCCTTCCCTGCTCTGAAGTTACAAAGATATTGTCCTATTTTTTTCTAAAAGTTTCATAGTTTTGACTTTAACATTCAGGTTACTTATAATTGATATTTATGTATAGTGTGAAAAGGAGTGATGTTGAAAATTTTGACCCCCTAGTGTGACAACCAGTCAGAGTGGATATAAACCATAGCACTGGAGGTGAGTCCTGATGGCCTTCTCCTGCGCAAAGCATTTACCCCTGTAGTTGCATGGATCATTGGTGGTACAATATCTCAGTATTTTAACACTGTGATACCCACTAGTCCTTTTTTAAAGGAGCCCAATTTTATTATTATTTTAAAGTGTGATTAGCTATGTTAGTCAGAGTTCTGTAGTGAAACGGAACGAATTTGTGTGCGTGTGTGTGTGTGTGTGTAGAGAGAGGGAGAGATAGATAGATATTTAGATTTTAAGGAATTGGCTCATGTGGTTGTGGAGCTTTAGTAAGTCCTAAATCTCCAGAGTAGGCTGAAAACCAAGGGAAGGGTTGCTGTTGCAGTTTGAGTCCAAGGGCACTCTGCTGGTAGAGTTCCCTCTTCTACCGGGGAGGTCAGTCTTTTTTTCTATTAAGACCTGCATGTGATTGGAGGGTAATCTTCTTTTCTCCCTCTCCATCTCCATCTCCATCATGGAGGGTCATCTGCTTTACTCAGGGTCTACTGAATTAATTGTTAATCTCATCTAAAAAATAAGAGTACCATTTGGAATAATGTTTGCCCAAAAGCTGACACATAAGATTAACCATCACAGTCTTCCCCTTCTCAACTTGGCACCCCTTAAACCATACTTACTGCCAAATAAAGACAATAACAAAGTCATACTTCTGCCTAGCACCATCAACTATTTTTCATACAACCAAAAACATTAACCCTTTTCCTAGAGGAAGATGTAAAGTCCTTGGGTAGTGTTTACTCTTCTTGATAACCCATAACTAATATACTGTGATGTAATGTTAAAAATACTTAAATACCATGATATAAATCTTACATTATATAAGGTGATAAGAGAGGGAAGAAAACAAAGATATTTGTTACACGTGCAGGCATGCGCACACACACAGGAACATGTTCATAACAAAGTAAGGAGGAAATGCTCATGGCAAGTATAGTTCTTGATTCTGTAAACAGTCATATAGTTGTAGGTGGTATTACAGTTGCCTTCATCCACTACTCATTCTGTATTTCCCTCTGCCCTCAGCAAGAACCTCGGCCGGTTGTGGTTCTTTACCTGGTGAGGCAACCCAAACCTTCATTCTGGGTCTGGCCATTAATAGTCCTGCCTGAACTGGGTTCTTGTTATTTTCCATTGAGTTTAATGATGGGGCATGGTGATACTAAGGACACCCTAAGGGATCCCATCTATTCCAGACATATTCTGCATTACCTCCATTGTGAAGGAGCTGTCCAGTTTCCCCGTGGTAGTCAGGATCAGGATCCGTCATACCAGCCAATACCGTAATGCCCTTCTTTGCCTGTTGATCTAGAGGCATAAGGAGCCCAAAGTGGCTGAACAGCATTCTTAACTTCCAGTTCATTGGAATCATTGTTGTGTTTTCTGGTGGAAACATTCCTCCCCTTGGAACTGAGACTACTAGGCCAGTAGAGCATATAGTCATGGAGACAGGAAACACTGATTTTGCTAGTGAGTCACTATGAGTAACACTGAGTGGTACCACTCCCATTTCCACCCCCTTGATTCCTGGTTCTCCAGTCTGATTAAAGACACTAATGACTCTATGTACAATAGTAAAGAGAGCATGGATAGTCCATGGCATGATGAGGCAGTAGAGATATGCGTAATGTGCCATTGGATGCTTGGAATCAAACACTTGTAGGAGACAAGGTTCTGGATGAACATATATACGATATAACATTTGAACATTTTTGTAAAACTAATGAGTATAACAAGGTTTTCATTTCCCTAATGATTAGTGGTGTTCAGCATCTTTTCTTGTACTTATTGTCCATTTGTATATCTTCTTTGGAGAAATGTCTATTGAAAGTCCTTCCCCCATTTTTGAATTGGGTTGTTTAGTTTTTGTTGTTGTTGAGTTTTAGGAATTCTTTTTATATAACCTGTTTGTGCCTTTTAATCTAAAGTGAGTCTTCTTTTAGACAGCATATAGTTGGATCACTTTTTGTTTTAATCCATTGGGTCCATCTTTGTCTTTTGATTGGAGAGTTTAATCCATTTCATCTAGGGTAATTGCTGATTAGGGAGAGTTACTTCTGTCATTTTGCTATTTGTTTTCTCTATGTATTATAGATTTCTTGTCCCTCATTTTTTGCATTAGTCCTCTTTTGCTTTTAGTTATTTTTTTTGGTAGTGAAATGTTTCAATTCCTTTCTCATTTCCTTTTGTGTCTATCTATAGGTATTTCCTTTGTGGTTACCATGGGGATTACATTTAACATACTAAGTTATAACACTCTAATTATACCAGCTTAGCTTCAATGACATACCAAAGCTCTGCTCCTTTACAGCTTGGTCCCCATACCTTTCAGTTGTTGATGTCATATAATTACATCTTTTTACATTGTGTGTCCCGAAAACATAAACTAGTAATTCTTTTGAATACATTAGTCTCTTAAATTATGTCGAAAACAAAATGTGGGGTTACAAACTAAATTTCCAGTCCTCGCTTTTAGACTTACAATTTTAAAAACGTATTAGTTTCTTAAGTCATGTAGAAAACAAAAACTGGTTACGAGGCGTTGTTACACAATCCCAGCTTTTATGGTTGCCCATGTATTTACCTTTACTGAGGTCTTTATTTGTTTGTATGTTTTCTAGTTATTATCAAGCATCATTTTATTTCAACTTGGAGGACTCCCTTGAGCCTCTCTTGCAAAATAAGCCTAATGTTAATGAACTTCCTCAGCTTTTATTTGGGAATGTCCTATTTTATCTCTCACTTTTGAAGGGTGGTTTGCTGGATATGTATTCTTGGTTGACAATTTTATTCTTTTAGCAGTTTGAATTTGTTGCCCCACTGCCTTCTGGCCTCCAAAGTTTCTGATAAGAAATCTGATAATCTCATTGAAGATCCCTTGAATGTGACTAGTTGCTTCTCCCTTGCTACTTTTAAGATTCTTTCATTGTATTTGGATTTTGAAAGTTTGATTATAATGTGTCTTGTGTGGCTTTCTTGAAGTTCATCTTACTTGGAGTTTGTTGAGCTTCTTGGCTATTTATATTCATATCTTCAATCAAATTTTGGAAGTTTTC